GGCGGGGGAGGAGGAGGCGGAGAATGAGTACAATAAAATACTAGCGCGCTATTGTCAATTGTGAAGTATGCGCCTGGGAGTAGAGATCAATAAATCGTCAATTTGGTAAAAAGCGCTCTAGTTGGGGAGATGTTAGGCCATCCACACTCAAATTGTGATCAATAGTCACCACTGGCGGCTCGAAAATTCCTCGTAGAAAAAGGAAAGACGAGCTGGTCTGGATCGTGCATAATTAATGGTAGGTTCCCCTTGGCTGGCCGCTTTCACCATCAGTAGCGCAGTTTGGCGCGGGGAGCGGAGAGAGACGGCATCATTACCACCAGAGTCCCGTACAGCAGCATCCTGGCCACAGGATTGTATCATAGCTCACCTTGGCAGGACACAGGACACACCACTCACCTAGGACACACGAATAGTGTGTCAACATCAGCTCACCTACGACACAGGACACACCAATGTGTCAACATCAGCTCACCTAAGGCCGGACACAGGACACACAAGTGTGTCATTATCACATCACCTAGGACACACGACCAGGGTGTCAAAATCACCTGGGCCGGACACACCAGTGTGTCATCACCTCACCAAGATCAGACACACCACCAGCGTGCCAACAGCACCCAGGTAGGACACGCGAGCCCAGATTTCCGCTGTGACAGGTCAAACGGTCAATAGCTGACTGCCAAGCTCTTCACGTATACTGTTTCAATTTCTCCCAGTCGATACCAGCGGAATCTGCCACAGACCACCACGCCTTTCTTTACAAACCACGGGCGATTCTCAGATCGCCATACCCCCCGGCGTGACACACGGATATACTGTTCGGGGGGGAGACGGTTTTTGACTTATCCACCACAAGTCCCCACTGGATGTTCCTGACTTCTGGATGTGACGCATAAAGTGTATAGTTTTCTGATCGTTAGACACCCGCCAGTTACAGACACCCGTCAGATACATGACGTGGCTGTGTACGGGATACGACCCCAGCACGGATACAAGTTATCATATCCGTGTATTTCAGTGGAGGTGTGTAGATAATACACGTTATAGTAGCTAGTATATTCCTGTGAGAATGTAGACAATACAAGTAACTAGCCTTATATGGCTGTAAGAATATAATAATATAGAGAGTGTTGACAAACTAAAGTATATAAACAGTGAAAGTGTGTAGATCAATGGTGAAAGAGAGACATTGTTAATATAGCCAGACTAGATCTATAGAAAATAAGTAGAAGACATATTTACTGTAGCCATTATAGATCTGTAGACAGATGGTGGAAGAGAGAGACAAACGTTGATTTAGCCGGTATACATCTGTAAGACTGACAGTGGAAGAGAGAGACAAATGTTGATTTAGCCGGTATACATCTGTAAGACTGACAGTGGAAGAGAGAGACATACAAGTCACTATAGCCGGTATACATCTGTAAGACTGACAGTGGAAGAGAGAGACAAACAAGTCACTATAGCCAGTATACATCTGTAAGACTGACAGTAGAAGAGAGAGACAGAGAAGTTAATATAGCCAGTATAGATCTGTAGACAGACAGTGAAAGAGAGAGACATACGTTGACGTAGCCAGTAGATATCAGTAGACTACAGTGGAAGAGAAAGACAAAAGTGAATATAGCCAGTATAGATCTGTAGACAGAGGATAGAAGAGACATATAGTGACTGTAGCCAATATAGACCAATAGACGACAGCTGAAGAGAGACATAGCCAGTATAGATCTGTAGACAGAGTAGACAGAGGGTAGAAGAGACATATAGAGAATGTAGCCAATATAGATCAATAGACAGTTGAAAAGAGACATAGCCAGTATAGATCTGTAGACAGACAGAGGAAGAGATAGTATATTGTGACTGTAATCAGTATAGATCAGTAAACAGACGGTTGAAGAGAGAAACATAGCCAGTATAGATCAGTAAACAGACAGTGGAAAGGAGCGCCCATCGACCCCAGCACAAATCCCCAGGGGTCAACACAAACCAGAAGGAACAGGAGAAGAGCCAGAGAAAGGACGGCGCTGAGACAACATTCTCCCCTTCCGTGTATTGTAGTTAAACAAAGCAGGCCGTAGCCTTTGCCGATCTGACATTTGTAGGGCGGGCGGGCGGGCGCCGGGTGTGACGGGAGGCCTGGCATTTACACACAGAGCAATTAGAGCGGGAGAATAATGGGCGCACGCCTGTCTACACACCGCCACATCCACCATTGATCCCCCGTGCCCAACAAACCCGGGTCAGTTGTCGGAGACGAGGCGGCAGACGACAGCCGACAGACAAGTGTCTCCACCACCACCACTTGTCCCTCGGATACATACGCCAGTGGTTTCTTCACACACACGGTCCTAAGTGGCAAGGAATTTCTTCCATCGCTCCTCTCATCCGGTGCCAGGCTATTTCCCAAGCCATTACTTATTCTACTCCACCACGTCAGTGCACTGAGTACACACGACGCTCAGGCACGGTGTAGTATCTTACATTTTCTCACACCAGCGGTAAGTGTACAGTGTCCATGCCGCTCAGTTGGCAAGTCAGGCATTGTAAGCTGTCCGGGAAAATCCTTAGTTAGCACTCAGGACACACAGAGTTGAGGAAGTTCATAAGCGTAAAACGGGTGTTCCCTTTACCTCATCAATGTTAGAGACGTGTAATGTTTAACAAAAATAGAGATATAATCAATCTGGAAAATACTAGACACAAGGGAACACAGTAGGATTAATGCTTAGCAAATTCAAGAAATAGTGAAGGCACAAAAAGGAACGACAAATTGTTAACTACTACCTTAATAAAAACTTGGGAGACATTTTGTTTTCACTTCTCACCAAAGTAAACGAAAATTCACGAAAAGCTTTCTGCTAGTACTACACAGCTTTTTGTTGAAAGATATCCACAAAGAAAAAAAAAAAGACAACTGTGATTTATAACTTTCTCATAATATGAAAAAAACGCAGAGGAGGATAAGTTGACATAACTTTGCACTATTTACGAAGAAGAGAATACAAGAGCTCACACCAACTGGTCAACTGACCCACTCACTTCTCTTAATTTTTTCAACCCAGTAAGACAAAGCAGTACAAACAGCAAAACTGCCTTGTTCTTCATCCTTCCACTAAATCCCCCCAACAATCAAACAAGCTCACACAGGCAGAAAGTCAAAGAATAACCACACAGATGACATCACTACAGACACTACACTATTGACAAGCTAACCATGAGGTCTCATGACTTCTAAAGGAAAATTTTCGAAAATAGTGTAAAAATACCCTTCTTCTGACAAAGTAACATTTTTCTAAATACAGAACTCGACCAAAAAAATTTTTTTTAAAAGAAACTGAAAGAAAAGTCTTTCTGCAATGAGAGCACAGCACTGCAAGTTCTTCCTTCCAAAATTTCCTCCACAAGAGATCACCCTGGGCAAGCTTCTGCACCTTACAATTTTCATGATTACTTCCCTTGCACCCCTCTCCACAAAATGCTAGGTGATCATTTTTAGAACCCTATTACAACCCATTTTCCTCCACTGTTCAAATCAAGCACACGTCGAAATACATGAAACAGAAAATGAAATAATCGCCAGTACTAATCCTTACAAACAGCAGTCAATTAACCCTGCTAGACCTACCCTCTCCTGATCCTAATATCAAACTGTATCAATATAATCTGTCCTCTGTGGCAAAAATAGGTAAAACGCATTAAATATAGATCACAAAAGTGGTAAAAGTAAGGAAAACAAAACTGGTACTTGGTCCAAAGAGCTTTCAGAAATCTACCTTCAAACTAACACTGGAACTTTTCCTTTGTCCTCGTCCTATAAATCAACAGCAACTTGAATTACGGCTAGCTCAGTCATTGCTTCCACCACTACAACAATTACTCACAGTGTCTTTCATTGTGGGACTAATTTGTAAACACTTGTATCATGACCCCGTTTAGATCTAGCTGTATTTCCTGTTTTAGTCCATTCATCACTAGCCCCATACGTTAAAATAAATCCCATTCATCAAAGAAGAACTCTATACTGTAAGTCTGATTTTAAGAAAAATACAACTTATAATGGTCTAGACTATATTCACACTAAATGCATGGAATACATGATTTATTCTTTCAATGCATTACAAAGTTTTGTCATGAACAGTTGCCAGTTACCAATAGGCCGGGAATTAAGCATAGCAGGGTGTCAGGTGTGTTCCCTATAGAGAGAAGCAAATCCGATTCAGTGTGACAGAACGTGAGCAACCTCTTGTCTTCCAGCAAACACATCCCACAGTCAGTCTAATCAGCAGCAATCATAAACTATCTACTAGAACACTACAAAATGTACCTCATGCATAACATTTTCAAGTCCCAGATCTGAAACAGACAAATTCGCAGTCACGGTTTGCAACTCACTTCTCTTTCTAGATGCTCTGGCAAAACCTGTTTTATCCTGGTCTTTTCCAGCCACCCATCTGTTTAGCACTCTATGTAAATTTTCCTTGGTCTACCGTTCGCCTCTTTACGTCTTTTACCTTCTAGTTTTCCAGTGAAAATGACATGTTCACGGTCTGTACATAATATCAGGTGTCCTAGAAATAGTATATTTATCTCTGTCTAAGTGAGTGTTCCCCATGGGCCTCTTCCACTGTATCTCAATCAATCCTTTTGCTTCCTTTAAACATTCATCGCTTCTAAAATAATCCACAAGTGCCTACAGTTTTTCACACAATCACACAAAGTGAGAGATGTACATTTGTATAACACCAAGGAGCCCTACCAGTACGACTGAGAAGTTTTGCCTTCCGTAACTTATTTTTGCTCAATAAAAAGAGAAACAAAAGGTGAGGTCCACGAACATCTACATCTACCCAAGCACAAGGGAAATTTTACACACACAAGAGCTCTCAATGCAATCACAAAAGGTTTTTTATGCCACTTCCGTGATATAAAATTACCTCCTATAGAAGGGCATTCATTCTGAATTTAATGTATTTTCTACCTGTACAGTGACACACAGCAAATAAAAAATCGCTTCCACAAAAGGTTCAAATTCTGAACTTTACAACTTGAGGTTATCCCAACTACACTGAGGAACAACTATATCTGAAATACACTTGAGCAAACAGTTTAACAAAACTCATTAAAAGACAAAATATATACATAGATCAGATCGCATGTGCAAAGTCACTGTTAGTCAAGCGCGCTCATATAACCTTAGCAGTTGCGAGCGCCGTAAAACCCTATACTGCTACTACTACCGTTGGTCATCTGTCATAGAATCCATAGGTAAGAGATAGTGTGTGCCTTGATGACATTGCATGTGGCACAGTAAATAATAAATGTGTGGCATGTTAAATAATAAATGTGTGGCATGTTAAATAATGAAATCGAAAAGAAGTGGCATAGATTTGAGGAGTTACTAAAGAGTAGCATACAAAGAAAACAAGGAGATATTATTTAAAGCAAAATAGATATTTGATAGGAGGGAAGAAGCAAACCAAACCATAGCACTAGCAGCCACCAACCACTCAGAATAGAGAACTTTGCAAATAGCAGGGAACACAATGAGTGACTGATCCGAGTGATCTAAACAGGGCACTCATGCTTACGCTAAACCACAAAAACTCTGAAATAAGATATAAAGAGCCGGTACGAAAAATGATGACGGACTGTACTGTCAACGAGTAATAAGGTAATATAGTGAGCTATAGTAGGAAATTAGATCCAGTTTTCTCAAAACATGAAAAGAACAAAATGTTCACACTGCACTAACGTAGGTAAGACAGCGCTATCAGTTTGTGACCATGAAACCAGTTTATCCAATTTCATGATTTATGACATTCACGATATAATTTAATATTTCAATATTCAACCAACCATCCTTACCAGTAGCAGTTCAATAGGTCACTTTTAAGTTCAAGGGGGCTATCCTGTAAAATGGTGTTTTGAGAAAATCGAAGGTAAAGTTTTGCCCCTTATTCAGCTTCTTTAAAAGACCAGGCGTTTTTCTCTATAACTAAATTTTTATATACACACCAATGAAACCAAACTTCTCCTATAGGTTGGGCAGTGCCCACTTTAGGTGAAGGTCAAGATTTCTTGAATCCCACGAAATCTGGGTTTGCCCGCTCGTCCTTAAAAGCGACCAGTTTCAATACAACAGACAACAGTACTTCATCAACACAAACACCTAATCACTAATGGAAAAGAATCAGTATTATTTTACTTTCTCTCCTGTCTCTTGCTCAGGTATTGCATAGCTCTTTTCAGTAAATTTTAACTTTCACTCCCGCACACAGATGCACTGGTTCGGGGGTCAAACTGCAGTACCGTTTGCTGCAGATCACACATAAAGCCACTAAAACTAAAACTGTCGCAAATCAATTATTTTCAAGAAAATTTCAAATCTAACTGAAAAATATCAAATTATGATTTAAAACTGGGTGGCATGCCCCCCCCCCCCCCCCCCCCCCCCGATTTTTTTTTTTCCCCAAGGGACCCCCCCCCCCCCCCCCCCCAATTTGCCCAAAGCACGTCTATCTCTATTTTAGAACAATATAGTTTTTTCAAAAACTATTAATTTGTGACAGAAATGAAGCTGATATTCGTGTTCAGCGTATCAATATTTAGCAGAAAATGAACAACTGGTAGCTAAGTGTGAGACGAGAGGGAAAGTAAAAAAAAATACCATAAAATGAATAACGAAAGAGAAATTATAATGTGCATGTGAATGTGATAGCCATCTAGACAGAATAAATCGATCTAGATCATCTAGATTTTCTAGATCTAAATATCTGGATCTCTATAGGCCTACACCTAACAGAAGAATGACAAAATAGTGTACAGAGAAAGAGAAGATACTTCTTTGGGAAGGACTTCCATAATGAGCGATCGCCCCAAAAAACACAAAGAAAAGACCTACTCCTCCTACACACATACCCTAGACTCTATCTGTAGCCTTCTATTCTACTGTCTCATAGTGGTCGCTCGTTACGGAAGTCCTCCCGTTCTTTGTAATTGAGTAATTGTCATAATGCAAAGCCAGATCTTGGGCAGACATCAGACAGTGATACTGATAGCAGTATAAGTTTAAAGGTTACTCAAGTGCTACTGAAACAATAACAACAGTATTTGTTCTGTTTCTGTTGTTTAGGCCTACTGTGTGACTTATTGAACATGTTGCAAATGGCCATAGAACAACTGGTGTGACTACTGACTTTACAAGAGACAGCACGCTTAGCCTGTCTGCCTGCACTAGAGATCTTGACATGGACTGTTCCAGACTTATCAGAAGAGTTTGAGGTGTAAACAATGAATTGTGAAAGTGAAGAATTGAGCCTGCAGCTGAGTGAGGTAGGGGAGAAAACCCTTTTTTTTAAAGACAAAAATATGCTCAGGAGCTGCCTACCACTCAAACACAAACTGAATGTGTTCTACAGCTACGCTGGCTTCTCACACCGTGTGTGAGTGGCAAAAGTGTGCGCTAACAGCCAGCTCTCCCACTCAAGATGATGATGGCTTCGGCTACGCTGGTTTCCGCCATTTTGGATACGCTGTAAGTAAATCCTTCGTCGTATCGCTTACATTTTAGTTTGCCACACAAGTTTCATCATGTAACAATTATATAATAATAACTCACCATTCCAGACACGTTAGAACATAAAACACGGTAAATAGAATAAAAGAAATTCACCTCGAAACCATCTAAAAATGCTGCAACACCAGCGTACGGCACTCGTCTCTTCTCGTGCGGGAGTTTGTCGGCCGGTGGAAGGTGAGGCAGAGGATCCCTCGCCGCGAAAAGGGCTAAAAGATTTGGTGGAAGGTACTGTGTCATGGTATCAGATCGTTGGAATAGCACAGAACTTCATTACTCAAAAAATGGACGCGTTTGTTTAGGTCCTCGGTCTAGAGGGACACTAACACTACTGGTTTCGTTGCAGCAGTTCACAGCGACTCTTGTTTTCTTCCGTTTCACGCGGCTTTACCTCGTCCCTCACTGAGCGTGCGAGCGGCGAGGTACCAGTCATTGATTTTCGCCGGGCTGTGGCGCGACGTACTATATGGCTTATGGTGGGGTGTACCGCCGCAGCAACGCGAAGCAGCCTCGCGAATAAAGCCAAAATATAAGTACTATTTTTTTATTTGAGACAAAACAAACGAAATTTCGTCCAAGGATAAAATATTGTTATTTTTTTGACTACTTTATAATTTTTTTCAGAACTGTTCTTTGAATTTTTAATTCCCAAATCGACATAAAAATCTGATTGGTCGTTGGATTAACTGACATAAATCCCCTGTTACTTTATTTAGATCTGGACTTGTGGTGGCTTCAACGTCTTCCTAAGGTAAGTGCTTTAGCAAACCCCTGTGCTCAGTGATCGATACTTAGCATTACACATAACAGGAGTCGTATAACTGTTCATACTTGCCCCTATATTATGTGGCATAGCTAAGTATGTGACCGCCCGATGGACCAATCGGATGTGTCGAAACTGCATAGCAGCACACTCGTGTGTGAGAGTGGGGTACGAGCCTTACCGAGTGGTGTCTATTTTTACATTGTAAATCATTAGCGCTCACACTGCGCTAAGGCGCGTGCATTCAGCTTGACTACTGTTCCAACTCTGTTTCATTGCTTCTTGTCAATGAGGTCGCTTACACGCTGAACTTTATGGTTGCTCGCGTTCTGTTTTGAGAGGATTACGTTTTTCTTCATAGGGAACCGAGTGCTATTGTGAAACCCTGTATTGTTAGTTCTCACGACTAAACTGTGAATGTAATAACGGGTCTGGTAAAGTCGCGTGTGTGACGTCAAAATAATCGATTTCATCCGGGGAACAAACGTATTATTTTTGTCCGCCATATTTGTAGATTTGTTATGATCAAAGTGGTTAAAAAACCGCACGCTGGAATGGCAGGCGCGTGTTGCTTGGTCACTGAGACTTTGTATGTAAGGGTGGACTAATGCAGGCAGTAAAATGGAGGTTGCTATGGCTGGGATCGAGGGTAACGGCGGCCCGGCTGGCTACCGGGACAGCTACCATTCATCCCAACGGCCACTTTTACGCTCTTCTAATCTTCCAAATTCCAGGTCTTTTCCCAAGCTCTCAGAGGAAGACAATGCCAATGAGAATGGGATGGGCGTGCCCGGGAGCGACTATGACTGCAGCTGTGAGCGCGTGGTGATCAACGTGAGCGGTCTCCGGTTCGAGACGCAGCTGAAAACCCTCAACCAGTTCCCCGATACGTTGCTTGGCAATCCTCAAAAGCGAAACCGCTATTACGACCCACTTCGCAACGAGTATTTCTTTGACAGGAATCGACCCAGTTTTGACGCAATCTTGTATTTCTACCAGAGCGGCGGCCGGTTACGGAGGCCCGTGAACGTTCCCTTGGATGTGTTCTCAGAGGAGATCAAGTTTTATGAGCTGGGAGAGAATGCCTTTGAGAGGTACAGAGAAGATGAGGGCTTCATCAAAGAGGAAGAGAAGCCTTTGCCACAGAATGAGTTTCAGAGGAGAGTGTGGCTGTTGTTTGAGTACCCTGAGAGCTCAGCGGCTGCCAGGCTCTGCGCCATCTTCTCTGTAGTCATTATCCTTTTGTCCATTGTTATATTCTGTTTGGAGACTTTACCACAATTCAAGCATTACAGGGTGGTCAACTCGACGGCCAATGATTCGAAAGAGTCCATTGAGGAGGATGATATTCCAAAGTTCAATGAGCCCTTCTTCATCATTGAGACCTGTTGCATCATCTGGTTCACATTTGAGCTTTTGGTGAGGTTTGCTTCGTGCCCAGAGAAGCTCGGCTTCTTCAAGAACATCATGAACTGCATTGACATTGTCGCTATCATTCCATACTTCATCACTCTGGGCACGGTGGTGGCCGACCAGAGCAAGAGCAATAATCAAGCCATGTCTCTGGCCATCCTCAGGGTCATCCGATTGGTCAGGGTCTTCAGGATATTCAAACTTTCCAGACACTCGAAAGGCCTTCAGATCCTAGGCCAGACCCTCAAAGCCAGTATGCGAGAACTGGGCCTGCTCATATTCTTCCTCTTCATAGGTGTTATTTTGTTTTCCAGTGCTGTCTACTTTGCCGAGGCTGACGCCGACCAGACCCACTTTAAAAGTATTCCCGATGCATTCTGGTGGGCCGTGGTCACCATGACGACGGTGGGCTACGGAGACATGCGGCCGATCGGGGTGTGGGGCAAGCTGGTTGGCTCTCTGTGCGCCATCGCTGGCGTGCTCACGATCGCGCTTCCTGTCCCTGTCATTGTGTCTAATTTCAACTATTTCTACCATCGAGAAGGGGAGAGCACTGACAAGGGACAGTACAAGCACGTGCAGTCCTGCCCCAACTACCCCGAGAAAAAAGATTCTTTGGATTCTGAGTGCGGCTCGGATATCATGGAGATGGAGGAGGGCAACCACAGCACTCCGCTGACGGAGAAGGTGAAAGAGAACCATGCAATCAAGGCCAATAACCCCGGCAGTGACTACGGGCTGGAGACTGACGTATGACACAGTGCCTCGCTACAACTTCCAGCATTGAACGCTCCTTTTGCTATAGGGAGACCATTGCGGCATGACATGAACTTGCGCTCATCCGCGCAGACTTTCTGTCGTTCCTCGCAAGATTCGAGTGAAGAGGATCTCAGAATTTTTTCCCAGGTACTTGTTCTGAAAGAAAGGATGTGCTAATTGTGATAGTCACATGACATACATAGGACAAGGGCTGTGCGGTGGTGCGTTAAAGTGGCGGTGGGCAGACGCACATGGAGAGTTGTCTGCCCCTGTGTCATGCCTCGGAATACTCATCATTATGAGAGCTTGTCTCCATGGTTACCCTGTAAGCATTCAGATTTGCAATTTTTTTCACCCCCCATACTAGACTTCACCTTCGTATTGTATAAAAACAAACAAAAATCAAACAGTGTGGATGTTTTTAGCAACTCGAATTTTCAGGATTTTTTTGACACTTCACAGTCTGCCAAGTAAAATTTTCTCACAATCTTATGACAAGTTATGATGATTACATTGCAAAGTGATGAGATGAGAGATGGTTTAGTCTGGCACATCGAAACTCCGTTATTCTCAAGGACAAATATTTTGTGTTCACCAAGTCTTCTTTGCGGAGGTGGACAGATGCAGTGAAGACTCTTTAACTGTGACGGTGGTTACACTCAGTTACACTCTTTGTTATTTATCGTATTAGGATTCTTAGCATGAAAGGACCTAATGAGATAATAACCTCCACCTCGCCCCACCCCAACGCCCCCACCCCCAACCCCCTGATCCCCCCCACCCCGGGTGCTCTGCAAATTGAAACAATTCTGTATTGACCTCCTTACCTCGATCGATCGCCTGGTTTGTTTATTTCACATATTTGTATAAAGTGTTCATTGATGTTGATATATAATGCTATGATGTTATTTCTGCGAGAATCATGGGAGAAAGAAAATGTCTGACTGAGCTGACTCTCGAGTGATGAGTGGGAGATTTTTTTCCTCTTTCCTTCTGTTTGTGAAGGCGTAGCTGTTGTTGCTGTTGATGATGATGATGGTGGAGATTGTCGTGTTTCGAGTGCTTGCCATTTATGTACACATTTTTTAAAAACTTTCTATAAATTTCCACCCCTTGAGTGAGGTGTTCTCTTCTCCCTGTGAAGATTTATTATTATGATGATTTTTTTAGAATTCCAACATGTGTGATAGATACTTTTTCCAATTGTTTTTTCCCCCCGAAATCTAAACTGACAATGCTTGCATGCATGCGCCCTCTCAAGCCAAAGAGGTGGTTCAATGTATCTCTTGTGATGGAAGACAGATGTTCAAATGTTTATGAAATGCTAAGTAGTAGCCACCAAATGACAAAGCTCATGTCCGTAGTTTCCCTCGTCATTTTGGTCGTATATATGTTTGTACATTTGACGCGTGTTTGTGTGTGTGTGTGTGTGAGTTCCAAGCTGTAGTGTGAAAGTGTAGCTCTATCTATGCTCTTGTTGAGAAATGCTTGGAATTATTGCAGATTTACTTGTGACGACTCAATCTATGCACAAACAGTTCAGCCATCGGGAGATGTTTGGCCGCTGGATTTAATCAATGTTTCTGTGATCACATTTATTGGAAAGAATATTCTCACTCTGTTATAATAATTATTGTCAGTTCAATTGTAAGTGATACTTAAGTCATTCTCACCTTAACATGCTGGGCGGAGGTCAGGGGAGAGAACTCTCTTGCTTGGTTTGGATGATGGTCCCGCGGCAGTGAATGGTACGTCTGCGGTGAAAAGTAGATCTTGATCTCTCTCGTTGTTCTCCCTCCCCACCCGAGTTTGTGAAAGTCAGCAGCAGATGGTGGGAAAAGAAAAATGGTTTGGGGGGGATTATATTTGTTTGTTGGAAAGGCCTTAAGGTTTGGTTTATATATGGAGAAGTTTGTGATATATATATATATAAAAAAAGCACCCCCAGTTGGTGGCATGATCCCCCGGCTGGCAGACGAGGGGAAAGTGTTCCTAGACCTGCCCCAGGAGAAATCCCACCTAGCCTCAGGGCTCTGTACTACTATGTCTTCTAACGAAAGGGGAGCTCAGTTGAGGTTGGTGTAACCTTTTTCGACTTGAAATTATTTTCTTGTGAATGAAGTTGGTCCCGGTAGGACAGTGTCAGGTGTCCGTTTAGATCTCAACATCTTTGTACGTTGTGGTGAGTCTCGACTTGTGGTCATGTACGAGACGACTCATGACTCGGGCTGGTCTACGTGATGACTCCTGCTCATCTACGTCGTGACTCACATGCTCATCTACGTGGGTGAAACGTGCTCATTCTTAACGTCCTCCTCACCGAGGAGTCCAGCCGACCTCCTTCATCCTCCAAGGATTGATACCTCACAACAGTTTCGCCGAGCGCCGTCTCGTTATCCAATCATGCGCAACTACAGCAGCGGCCTCGGGAGATGTCTCCTCGTCATTGACCACAGTACGTCATCGGGTCGTTCTGACGTCTACCGCAGCGTACATCGTGCAGAGTTACCCGCAGGAAGTCGTCCATTTCTCCGGGCAGCTGTTTCATACGTGTATGGTATTGAGGGAGTGGGTCGTACGTGGTACTGAGGAAGTCAGTCGTACAGAGCAGCGCGTACGTCCGAGTCCTGACTGAACCATGCTGTTGGTCAAGACGTGGACGATGGACAATGAAGGGGTCAGCGAGACTGACCGGACACGTGTGAAGCGCGCCTCGACCGTACGTGTGTACAACGCATCTGGACTGTATGGAACAGATCTACACGCTACCCAGTGTGTGGAACACGTGTCCCTAGGACCGGTATGCTGCACGTCTGTCTGTCGGAGGGGCCAAGGTGTGTCGCACGACCGGCGGCGCGCTTCCTGACGAGGGCGTGTGTCTCAGGACACTAATGGTGAGTACAACATCGCAACTTTCCTTCTACTCGCTGCTGGGATGTGATCCTTCTTTTTTCTCACAAACATCCTGTCGTCCTTATCTCTCCCCCTTATTCTCAGCCAAACATTCTATCGTCCTTATCTCTCTCCCTTCTTTTCTGTCAAACATTCTGTCATCATTATCTCTCCATCTTTTTTTCTGTCAAACATTCTAATCTATCTTCCTTATCTCTCCCCCTTCTTATCTGTCAAACATCTATTGTCCTTATCTCGTCTTTCATCTTTTCTGTCAAACATTTTGTCGTCCTTATCTCTCTTCCTTCTCTTCTGTCAAATATTCTGTCCCTATCTGTTACTGCAAACACATCATTTATCACAAATGGTGCTATCTGTTACGGCAAACAGATTTATCCATGTTGCTGACTGTTACTACAAACACATGTATGTATCCATGGTGCTGTCTGTTACTGTTACTGCAAACACATGTATGTATCCATGGTGCTGTCTGTTACTGCAAACACATGTATGTATCCATGGTGCTGTCTGTTACTGTAAACACATCATGTACGTATCCATGATGCTGCCTGTTACTGTAAACTGCAAACACATACCACTAGTAATGATCATTACAGTAATGTATCCATGGTGGTATATCCCGTCCTGACCCACAACAGCCGTTACCTTGTCCTGTCAGTGTGATTGTTCCCTCCGACAGCCCTCGCCACTGGGCTCGGAGGCTGGCATATGTGAAATGATTTTATTTCTGTTGTTGTTGTCGTTGTTGCTATTGTTGTCGTAGTCGTTGTAGTCGTTGTGCAGAGGTCATCGGCCGAGCTGTGGCTCTGAGTGGATGCATACTGGTAATGGTACCGTTTCTTTGTTGTTGTTGGGTTTGGGGTTGTTTTTTTCGCTCAAAAGACGAGAGCGTTTTCGATCGTTCGTGAGTGTGTGTGTGTGTGTGTGTGTGTGTGTGT